TGTCTCCATAGTCTCCTCCACATTGTGCCAGTACCTCAGTCTTTCTGTTTCATGACCTTGACAGTTTTGAAGAGTACTGGCTAGTTATTTTATAAACTGTTACAAATGTATCTACCTAAGGGCACAACCCCACCCATACCTGGTTACTATATGGGTGTGTTCTTAACCTGAGGGCAGCCATTACATTGATCTGCCAGGCCAACCACTTGGATCTATTTTGAAGGAAATGAATTAAATTAATGAATTCCTTGGGGGGAGGAGGATACAGAATTGGGAAACTGAGAGATCAAAGTAGTAATAGCAGTGTTTGAGATAAAAAGTAATATAAAGTCAAGTTTGGGGTAGCCATTGTGGGACATAAGCAAGATGAGCAACAGAAGTAAACACTCAGTAAAAAAGAAAGAAACACAAGCACAGAGATAAAGGACATAGTTTAAAAGACAAAGCAAGACCTTCTGAGATATCCTGAGTTAGTGTATCCTAGGTTCCTTACAGCTTCCCTGTATTTGGGTCCTATTTCCATAAGAAATACTGACCTTGTATTGTACAAGTTTCCCAGTTGCAGCCTGAAAACGGTTTTTTGTGAGTTAGCATAAAAGAGTCTCTATTTCCTACATTGAAAGTGGACCTAACAAACACATAAATAAAATTTGGAAACAACAAGTAAGTGCAAAATATAGCATAGTAGCTGTGGCAGAATCCAGGGAGAACAGGATGCCTACTTAACTTTTTGATTCTATTGCAGTCTTACAAAGCTTATATGACTGACTACAAATTAATCTAGACATTTACACAGACTTCTACAGAAGGGATCACTGTAGGAATGCCTAATCACTGAATTTCCTCCATGGTTCCATGTCCTGAAAAAAACCTCAGTTAAAACAGTTCTTAATGCAGCATTAACCTTGCTGATCTCAAGTGTTTCTTTTTCCCTTTGCATAGTATATGTTATTCTTTCATCAGTGTGACCTTAATCATCTGTAAATTTGTCAGGTATTGTTGAATAAAGTATTCTAAGTAACCCAGGACCTAGGAGCTCCAAGCTACATGCTTGTCCTATTAAGCAAATAGTATAAAACTAGAAATTATTTTTTCATTTGTTAGCTGTATTTTTGAAAGAAGCAATTGGTTTTTTAAAAATTAATTCAAATCCAAATTGCTCACTTTTCACAGTGAAAGGTGATTCTTAATTTTTCATTTTCTAGATGTACATATACTCCAGTTTAAAATCTTAAAGCATTTACTTTATGACTTTTCTTTTTATGAGTGAAGAAAAACTTGTGGATTTTTACTACTGTTCTAGCCCAGACCTTTCTTTGCTACTCAAGAAAAATGTCACTAAAGGGAATACACACAAACACCCTTGTACATACACATGCACATGCACATAAACACATATATATATAAACATATGTATAATTTACATACATATAAATGCACATGCATATATAATGAACACACACACACCTTTTAAAATATTGATTGTATATTTTTGTACCCATTCTGCCACATTTACAAATGAAGTAATTAACATTAATCTGTAAACCCTTTGCAAATATTTAAAATAAAATAAGTGGCAGCTCTTTGTAACATGGTTAAAGCTATAGTGTATCATTTTGTCTCAAAGTGTGTGTTAAGGAGCACTAATAGTTTATTTTAAAGTACAAGTGTTTATAACATATAATTTTGAGGGGGGCACAAATTAATCCTTTATTTTGGAAATATAAAACAAGCAGGCAAACATAATATACTGATATGAAAAATTAGGTTCTCTCTATATTCTGATACTTCATGATGGCAAGGGGAAAGGATAATAAATAAATGCTTGCAGAACCTTTGGTGCTGTAAATCTGCAAAGATAAAGAATCCATGAAACCTGTACTTCAAGGATACACTGCTTAGAATTAGTAATTTACTCAAAGAGCCAAAGGTAAGAAATACATGAAGAATTAGTTTATATTATAAAAGATAATTTTTAAAATTGGACCATGAAATGCTTCCATGTAATAATGCCATTAAGAAGTAAGACTAGTAGCCATAAAATTAACCATATTAGTCTTTTATTCTATACTGAATATGATTATTATTTTATGTATTGCATTCATGAAATTATATTAAGCCTATTTAAATATGAATCCATACATTCAGCCATATTAATAATAAATATTCATAATATTGATTGCTGTACTCTGTATATTCTTTTATTTTAGTAAAAAGTAAAAGACACTTCACTGCTTGTAAAAGGCACCCAATAGATATTTGTCAAATGGATTCTTCATTTTAATAGCCAGATTCTCCAGTAGCTTGAAGGATATGGTGAAAACCATCTGAATAATTATTCTAGTTAATCTTAATTGTTATATATGTTATATTAAACACAGTGTCTGAATTGATATCTGAATTGATTAAGATTGCTGGAAACAGAGTACAGGGATTTTAAATTCTGAGTTATTGTTAGGGTAAAATGAGTTAGTATGTGGAAATTCATCAGTACCTGGAATATACTAAATACCTAGTAAAAGTTTGCTCTCATTATCAGTTTGAAAGAAAAATTTCTTAAGGTACTCCACAATTTGGTGTTATAATTTTATTAAGATATAACTAAGAATTATTAAACAAAGTCATAGCTTAGACTTCATATTAAAAAAAAAAAAAACTAGAAAAATTTCTTCAGTATTTACACTAAGCTCCCGTAATAGAAGACATAAAAGAAAACAATGACAAACTTACAAAATAAATTTTAAAACTTCTATGTGTTAAAAAATAATGTTCAGCAAAATTAAAATTTAAACAAACTCTTAATGTATATGCAACATATGTGATAAAGAATTTATATCCTTAATAAGTAAAGAGCTCTTATGAGTTAATGAAAATTAATGAGAAATGTGCAAAAGAAAAAATAATTGCCCAAGGATGGACAAATGATCAAACTAACTAGAAATCCAAGAAAGATAAATTAAAACAGCTATTAGCTATCATTTTAAAATCAATTGGATTTATTTTTAAAATAATGATACATAATACTTTATCTGCATATCCAAAATTAAAAACTGCCTTTTGTAACTTGTTGGGCAGGAAAACAGAACCTGGTCTGGATGCATTTGCAGCAAACCAGTGTTAACTGAGATGAAGTAGTCCTTGTTATGTCTCTTAGTGGCTGCATAAATACTCATGTGTTTGATTATAAAATGCTTCTCAGACTCTGCTTAGAGTGTTATAGATTAGAAAGCATTTACATCATGTTAACTTTCTAAAATTAGAAAAATACTGAATTCCAAAACCTATCTGTCCGTATAAGTTTTGGATGGAGAATTGTGGACCTGTGTTTAATTTGACGGTACAGAGAAACAAAATCACTCAGTGAGATTATAAATTGGTTATCTTCTGTGAGTGTGAAGATAGTAATCTGGCTGTACATTAAAAGCCATTAAAGGGTTCATGCCCTTTAATCCAAAATCTCACCTCCAGGAATTTATCATTACTAAATTACTAAGAAAATAGTGAAAGATTTAGGTTTTCGTAAATCCAACAAAGATGGTATGTAATAGGTAAAAACTGGAAAGTCCAAATGTTCAATATTAGTAGTCTGCTCTGGCCATACCACAGACTACTACTTAGATACTTTTAAAGTGATATTATTGTTTGCCCTGGCTGATGTGGCTCAGTTGGCTGAGTGTCGTCCCGTACACCTAGAGGTCACTGGTTTGATTCCTGGTCAGGGTACATGCCTAGGTTGCAAGCTTGATTCCCAGTAGGGTGCATGCAGGAGGCAGTCAATCCATGTTTCTCTTTTATCAATATTAAGGTCTCATCAATGTTTCTCTCTCTCTCCCTCTCCCTTCCTCTTTCTCTCCCTCAAATCAATAAAAACATATTTTAAAAAAATAAAAGTGATATTGGTTAGTAACTCATTCATGTTGGAAAAATGGCCTTGGTATTTTGTTAAGTAGAAGTAGGCTATAAAAATAATATGCACCATAGTATCTAATGTCTTAAAAATATTATTTGCACATATATATGTGATATTCATCAAAATATTAATGATGGTTATCTCTGGATGAAGGAATTGCAGGTAATTTTAATTTTTTAAATAACTACTTTGCAGTGAACATGTATACTACTATAATAATAAAACTTCTAAATTTTATTTAAATATATTATTTAAAGCATACCAATATGTCTTACTTAGATTTCAAATTATATATACATAAAATTAGGATCTATCCAGAAAAATATAATATTCTTTATATTTAAGGATTAATCATTATAAAGGTTCATTATATCATGAAGCAAAGCCTGGTTTTCAAACAGCCTGTTTTGGCCTATAGTAGCATCTATAGCATTGTTGCTATTTTAAATGTGTGTGTGTTAAAATTACCCATGGGAAACTGGAAATATGATCCATATTGTCAAGGAAAATGTGTTTAGAATTTTTGACTTTGTAAAAAATATGCCTGGAAGTATATTGGCAGTATTCAAATCTGACCCATGAGGAGAGAACAGCAAGCTAATCATCTTGAATGGTGGGATGTCAATCGAGAGTTGATAAAGTCTTTGTTAATGTTCATAAAAAAAAAAAAAACTTGCTATTTTCAGAAATATATTTTGAAAATATGATCTTTATACTGAAATGATCCTTTTAACAATACACATAAATCAGGAAGTTGTGTGCACTTTCAGGAAAGCAGTGTGCCTCCTGTGTTGCCTTGAGTGGTGATAACATGATGACATGCCATCCTACTGCTTGGCGTGGGATAAACAGCTAGACCCAGCAGTACATCTGCAGAGAAGAGAGCTCTGTTTTTTAACTGCCAATTTTCAAGTCGGTGCTTCTAATAGTTCCTACAATATGCATCTGAAATTTGGTGCTGACTCTGAATGCTTTATTCCACTTTGGTAGACTTTCTGCAGTCCATGAACAATTAAATTATATTACTTTTTATTAGAAATTGTGATGTCTGTTACTTATTTACTAAAAGAAATAACTTTTTATTTTTCAGAGCTTCCATATGGCTGGGAAAAAATCGATGATCCCATATATGGCACTTATTATGTTGAGTAAGTCTCTAAGTGTGATATTAACTTGTTATTAATGTGTCGTGAAATTGTGTTAGTGTTTCATTTATGGAGCATGTGTAGCTAACACTCCCTTTATTTCCCTTTCATCTTACTTTGAAGTATCCACAAAGACACTAGCAGCACTAGCTAGCTATTTCTTGCCTCTTCCAGCTGGCTAATTTGTCATTCTTTTCTTTTGACTCAAGATTCTAAAACAACAATTGGAAAAGTGTGTTTCACTTTGTCTGCTAAATGACTGATAATTAAAGATATCAAAGTAAATGCCCTTCATTTTGCAATCAAAATGTTGAGAGCTGACTGGGGGTCTAAAAGAGATGTTCTATTAAACCAGATTTCAAAGTCAACTAAATGAAGCAGCCATACTTTCCAGTAGAAGGATGAAATAAATTTTAGATATTTTTTCACTTTTAAGATCATTTCAAATCAATAGTATTTTTCCTGTAGATTAGATTTCTATATTATTGGAGCTTGCATTGCCTTAATGTATCTTAGCATAATATGATTTATCCCCTCTATGAACCCTTTTATTAAAAATAAAGTCCCTATTAAAGATTAATTTATATACATATTTTTATTAGGAAAGTCAAGTAATATTCATAATTTTCAAAACTTAAGTATGTGATTTATTTTTCCAGATTCTCCTTTTCTGATAGAAAATGTTTCTATTATCTATTGGGTAGTGCTGTTTATGTTATTTGGGTGAATAACAAAGTGTACATTTTCCTTATGGGAAGTATACTTCCCAGGAAGTGCAGAGGTTGGAAAACAAAAGACATTCACAATTATTCAATTCAGCCATTCTAGCTTGAAAGCAACCACAGACCTGACTTAAATGAATGGGCATAGCTATGTTTTAATAAAACTTTATTTACAAAAACAGTCAGCTGGCTGAATTTGACCTGCAGAACATAATTTGTTGACCCCTGCCTTATGCTAATTCTTCAGATTGTTCTTCCGTGTCCTCAACTCTTTTTGAGCTGACATCCAATGTGGGAAATAATGCTTAAATCTTTCTTCTCTGTTCTAATTATCTGTCATAGAAGTGAGACATCCACATGTCAGAAAGCAATGCTTCCTACTTTCTTGGTCATTGAGTTGTGTGTTCTTCAAGTAAAAATATGCTGCTGGTTTGTAGTTAATTAATGAATTGGACATTGACTATAACTCTAAAAGGAAACTGTCCTCATTATTGTTATACTTCAAATGGTTACCCTTTTGTTCATTTTTGCTTAAATTATATCTCTCTCTAAATTTCTCCACTTCATTTTTCATGTATCACCACCATAATCAGAAAAAAATTTATAATTTAATCAGTCGTGTCCGATATTAGATCAGACTGATATTTAATAGTTTTAGATTTCAAATAATGGCTGAGGTCATGATACAGGTGAGTCAAATAGTTTATCATTCTTCAAGTTGCATCTAGTTTTATTACTTGTCATGGTTTTTCCCAATTACGTGGTACCGTAAGGTATACCAATACTAATGTGGGTGTTACCAGGCCAAGCAGAAAATTGAGATAGATCATTCATTCAAATCTAAAGATAATTTTAAGTAGAATTACATCCTAATATTTCTTGGAAAAAACTTTTGGAAAAAAATCATCAGAATATTTAATTCATCAGAATATTTATTCATCAGAATAAAGTACCTCAATTTATTATATATAATATAACATTACTTGAAATGAGGGATATTTTCCATCAAAACAAAGACAATTTGTCCATCTGAATTAGAATATGCCTGTTTACATGGTTTGTTTTAATTGTTCAAAAGATATAAATCTCATCTCCATGACACTATTATTTTCACAAGATATACATATATATTGGTTCTGAATAAGAGTTTTCTTTGTGAAATCTATATGAATAGATATGTGAACATTGTAGTTATTTCTTACTTTTAGTCCATAGAGTATTTTGGTTGGAAGTCACCTAATTTCTTATAATTAATTTATACAGGAAAAAAACAGCAACTGACTAGTTTAAGTCACTATATCAACTTTCCAGTATAGATATCATAAATATGAAATATAATATGCCAAGATTAAGACAGTTTATAACTGAAGTGATAACATTAATGTCAATATCTTAGAGAATCATACATATCAATTTGCAATTTTAATATTTAGTTTATGTAATAAAGCAAGGTGGTCTTCATGATGAACTTAATCAAGAGAATGCTGATTCACTAATTCTATTACTGATGAGGGACAATGGGTTCTCTGCATAACTATAATTTTTGATGTTTAATTATACACCCATTTATGTCATTGGAGGTGCTATAAAAAACATTTCACCTCCCCACCCAGTGACAAAAGAGCCTGTGCAAGGATATTAGATGTCCAGCTTAGCAGTCAGTCACTCTCTTCAAATAGACTAACAACTGGGAACACAAGTTGCAGAGGGGGCTCTTTGTCATCAGTAGGGCAAGTCAGATTGAAATCAGTCTGTGCCTCTGGCACAGTTGCACAAACACTTGTTTTCCTGTCAGCCACAGACAAGCAGATAGGAATTCCAGCAATCAATAGCAGGAAAGTGTTTATAGAACTTGAAACTAAAAAATTGAGATTGAATAGCTTTTGACCACTATTACTGACTTCCTTACTGAGCCATAATTCTATCTGTGCAAAGTCAATTTTAAAGTTACAGGTTTAATATATTTAAAAGTCAAAAAAATTATCATGATTATATCATCAAAATAGTTAACATTTACTAAATACTTAGTATGTGCCATGAACTGGGCTAGCTCTCAACTGTCTTTACCACATTTATAATCCTTTTTATAGTGATAAGGAGGTAAATTGTCCTAAGTTTACATTGAGGAAACTGGCTGAAAAAGTTAAGGAACTTACCCAGTATCACACAGTATAGATAGAAATGGTCGTAATTTGCACCCAGGCTGTCTGACTGTAGAGCCCAGATTCCAACCTCTGCTCAAAATGCCTCACACAAATTTAGAGCTCATAATCCACAATGGTCCGAACAAGCCTCAGACTCACTATCTGAGAAGAATGAGGGGCCACTGGAGAAAGGCTCCCCTCTAATACATGTCACAGCAGCTGTCCAACAATGGGCCTCATGTTGTACACAGCCTATGAGACCAGCCTCTGACCCTGGCATTCTGAGCTGCCAGCTCCACCGCCCACTGCTTCCGAAGACCCTGGACAGCATGGCCACTGGGAGCAAAACTTGCAAATTTGAGAGAGGAGGAGTCCATGGTGTGGATCTTAACATAGGAACGTCGACAGTAGTTTGGAACAGTAGAGGCACCCACACAGCTCTGGACGTTAGAGAAAAATAGGCCCTATGCATCTATTTCGTTTACATCTTCTCTTATTTCATTTACAGACAGAGCAGAAGGACCAAGTTTCTACTCTATGTACCAGCAAAGAGAAGTTAGCCCAATTTTTCCTGACAGACACCAAATCCATGATAGTACAGCACTTAGCAACGTCTTAAAATGTCCTGAGCTGCTAACCAGAAATGTAACTGTCACTGCTCATAAAGAAAGGGGAAATATTTTAATGGGGGGAAAAAAAAGTGCAAAATGTAGAGTTGAACAGCTGTGACTTTTGTACAAAAGTGGTTTTTCCCTCCTCTTTTGTGAAATTATGTCTTTTGGGTACATTTTGGTTTCAATGGCAGCTACACAATTTGCTTAACTAGCTAGCCCAGAAGACACAATTTCCTGGAGTAGCTTTCATGCAAAGCTGCCTCCTCAGGCACCGACGGAGAAGCAAACCACGTAACCACAGTTAAAATGATAGTGCAGACTGGCAGATGCGGTTTTCATGGAAAAGTTTTACAGGTTTTTCATGTGATGTCACACATCTGCTACTATAAAATGTTATTTGTGGGCAATTCCAGCAAGTATTGAAAAGCACTGCAAACTGTCTTCAATGTGACACTCAGTGTAAAAGGACAGTCACGTTCGTTTCGTGGTTAATAGTGAGTGCTCGTCATGACACAGCAAGTCGGAAAATGGTCAGAGAGGATTTTAACTCAACATCATGCCGTAAGAATGTTTCTCTTTGTCATTCCTTTGAGAGGTTTTCTAAATTTTCCAAGAAAAAAAAATTCCTACTTTTTTAAGTCATCACAACTGTAAAACATTTCCAATTAGGAATAAACAGACAGGGATAGACAGCCTTTCAAAATCTTACTTGTTCTTAGAGAATCTTTTTCCCCATCCCGAAAGTTAATGTTTCAAATGTTCAATTTTTCCCTTCAATGTTCAAAAACTAGCAAGCTTTTTGGATGCTATTGAAACAACTATTTAACAAAGAAATTATCCCCCCCCCCAATGTCCTCCCCTCGAATGTATGTAAGAGAAGATGCTACGCTGAAGCGGCACTGCTGGCGGAGCTGCTCTGACTTTCTCTGCCCGGGGAGCCCTAGTCCCGCGGGCAGCAGGTGGTCGCCTCGGGTACTGCCACTTGGTGCCCAAGAACACAGGCTGTGTTTTCACTGCGGCACCCCCGGCACCCCGCCTGTGAAACCTCCAGCAGGCAGGCTGCTAGGACGGAGGCCCAAGCCCGAGACAAGGGGTGTTATGGCCAAGTAGTAGCCTCAGTCTGCACCTATACCAGCTCGCTGAATCCTCATATTAAAACCTAGGAAGTCTGTATTATCATGGCCATTTTATAGATAAGGAAACTGGGGGACAGATTTTTTTTACAAGTAATAAGTGATGGAGGAAGAATTTGGACCTAGACAGCCTCATTCCAGAGGTGGTGGTCTGCACGTTACTCAGGTACGTGGTTAGTGCTCAAATGAATGTCAGTTATTTTTATCTTGTTTGTCCCGATAACGTGGATAAGACCTCTCCACGTGGCATTACTGGTTTTCCAGTTCTTTCATGATTACAGTAAAGCCCCCAAAATGAACAATTCTAAGAAAAGTATTTTATTTATAGGAAACAATTACTTAATCTCATGATCGGAGTGTGCCATATTGAATAAAGACAGTGTTTCTAGA